TTGACTATGGCTTAATCACCCGTATTTTACGGTTGGTGTTAATCTACCAACTATAAAATTTGTCAAATATTAAGTAAATGAAGCAGTATATTTAAGTACACTATTATGCAGTATTTTTTTAAAAAGAGGGAAATCATAAAACTAGCAATTATTCACCTAATAAAACTAGTGCAATATTTAGCGGGGCAAAAAACTAAAGAATTAAGATAGGGACAACAGTATACAGTCAAGATAATATTTGTGTCAAAATACTATTATAGGAAAATAAAAGAAACAAAATCAAGTAAAACTTATTTCAAAATATTTTTTGCTGCTGATATTAGTAAAATAAAGATTTATAGAACAATATTGAATACGGTGCATTCTAAAGAGCTTCTCAAAATAGTTTTTGCATCCCTCTTTGAGCATTCTCAGTATTTTTAATTACTCAGACGTCGGCCAAGTCTCAACACAATTCTCGTTTAATTATTATTTCACCTCTTCTCTTTAGATTCTGATCATCATTTTGTTATAATAATTTTCTAAACTTAAACTACAATGAAATAATTAAACCAATAGTTTATTATTAAGTGCTGAAGTTAAGTTACAGCATTAAAATAAGAACGAACATTTTATAATCGTGCTTAAGCACATAACTTCAAAACTTAGAATTTAAAAAGATTGTACTTTTATCGTTTGAATAAAATTCGAAATATTATCGTAAGTTGTTCGCATCGATAAAAGTATTTTCGGATTTAACTTCTTTCGAGTGAAATCGTCATTGCAAAATTCCCGGTGAACGAGTGAATTTCTCGTGTTAAGGAGGAGCGTTGGATGCCCGCCAGATGGCTCTTATGAGGAGCACCCTCTACCTCGTGCCTGGTGCCTCGTGCCTCATGCTGCCTGCGCCCGGCTCGCTCTAATTGCTACCAACTCTTGCATAATTATCTCAATTATGTGAATTGTTAATGTCGCTTAGCGAAACAAGTGTACAAATGTTTTCATTTTTGCCAAACAACAAAATTAACTCGATACGAGCCTATTGGCAAACGGCCCCCTGGCACTTGTAATAAAATAGAAATTGCCAGGCTATTTGATGTAATACACCATAAAAGTATCTACTTAGATTCGGTGCGGAATATTAAGTTATAACCCCGAGGCTGGGCGCTGTAATTTTGGATTTAAGCCAAAACACCATGTCTGGACGCAGTTACATTTGCACAAGCGACGCACTTATCTTCACTAATCAAGTCGGCTGTAGATAACTAATTCTACGTTCATAGATAAACAAATTGACTATTTAATTTTGATTATTCCAATTCTAAAAAAACATTATACTGGGCCAGAATAGTTGGCTTTAACCCTTACCGAATTTAGGGCTAAGCCAACCATGCTGGCCCAGTTCATGTTGGTTGACTTCACACACATTTTAAACTTCTTCACAGATATGAGCAAATTGAGCGATTTTTTTTTCACCGTAAGAACGACGAATAAATGTACATATATATTACTTTTCTAAAATCAAAAACACATTGGTACAAAGGCAGGGTTTGAACCTAATCATCTTTAGATTTTGCTCCGATTAAAGCGCTTAATCACAGGTATACCAACTCTTAAAATATATTAATTGACAACTAAAACGAATTAGTTTCGATCATTTTAGCCCTTACTAGTTTTAACTTTACAACTACTTTTTTAAGCAATTTCATTAGCCAATATTAGAGATTAGAAATACATATCTTGTATTATTTCCCAAGCGAAACCGCTTCCTACTTTCTGCACTTAGTTAAATATTCTTTCACCTTCTCAATCCATTATTTTAATGTTAATGAAAATCTAAAAGGATCACATAAATTACAATTACAACTAAAATATAAAATAATAAGTAAAAGTCAAAAAGCGACAATTTTCTTCTATTTTTTCCTCAAAATAAAACTAATATACTGTATAGATAATTCAATTTGTGTCTACTAACCGTCGTTATAAAGGCCGGGATAGAGCGTTCGCGTATCGTTTTATTGGGTCCATGAAGGATAGAGGAGGCTCAACCCACTACAGAAGGAGTACACTTGACCGCAACAGATGGCTGCGCCCCACCTACACCTACATTATGTTATATCTACGTACCGTATTTAATACTGCCTATAAAATCTATCGTATCCACATGGACACGTAACAAGGTTAGAATTTATGGTTAACATAATCACGACCACATGAAAACGAATCTGTATAATCTTACTAATATTATATAGATGAACGTTTTTAGAAAATATCTAGTAGTCTGAAAGAACACATAGGCTACTAATTAAGTTTTTTTAATTCGTCGCGGACGACAGCTAGTATAAAAGAGAAGTGATTCTTAAATTAATTAAAAAGTAAAATCAATGAAAAACTAGAAAAAGAGGTGTACGACTTTGTCATTTAGCAAGTTTGCTAGTCGACTTATCACGGATATGTGGAGAATAAATATTCATAGTTATTAAGATCTAAAGGTATATTATAAATCAAAGTATATGCGAACTATAAATAATTCGCTATAATAATCAGAACGTGCCTCAGCACTTAAATTCCTGAATACGAATCAGTATGAAAATGAGGGCATACATTTCTTCACACGCCACGTCGATTGCCGTTTGCTGCGGGGCTGGGAGGCAACGACGAGATGATGCCTTCGCGGCCGACGCGGCGTTGGCGGTGCATTTCCGAACGCATCGGCGTTCAATATCCGCGGGATTGTTTGTAGATCCCCTTCCCCCTCTTTCCGAACCCCCGCTCCGATATCAACGCTCTAATGGAGCTTAGTGGGGTGTCTGTTTTAGAAATAGCCTACGCTATATTACGTGCGAACAATAAATTATCGTTACGACTGAAATTATACCTTGTATATGTGAAGTCAATTTATTTGCAACCAGAGATGAAACTGATGACTTTGGAAACAACAATTATTCATAACAGAATTGTTATCCCATGTGCTTTTATATAAAATTATTTGATATTTATTTTTAAGGATGTTATTGCAGTTTTCAATGCGATGCGAAATCGGTTTGTTCCTAACTCTACGTGTGGTAGTTGCATGCTGTATTACTTTGTGGGTAACGTATGACCCGGGAAAAAAAGAAGATCCGCTAACCCATTAAACAAATATTACGTCTTTTATATTGACTTTAATGAAACTTTAAAACAATTGCTCTCGTATATTTTATATTTCATGTATTTTTGAATCATGAATACGGGCGAGTGACTGGCGCAAGTAGCAGACGACAGTTCCGGAATCGGCAGCACAACTTGTACTTCGCTAGAACTTTGTTGTAATATTTGCACACACGAGATATACGAACACGATTCCTGTTAAATTTGAACGTTCAATTTACTCAAGTTTTAATGTAACAGTCGATGAAGTTCGTTAAATATATGGCCTTAATTATGTTAGCGTTCGTTAATGTTGTACAGTTTGGAATCGAAGTATTTGTAGCTGCCCAACAGCGAAAGAATTTCACAAATCGGCTCAGTAGTTTCGGAGGAATAAATAAATCTTTTCTCTTTTTAAGTTAAGTTTGGTTAACATGAAAGAAAGTATTTATTCGCATTTTACGCCTAACGTTGACTAATTCCCCCGAGTTCTTAAGTCAATTAGATTTTTTCGATCAGGCTTTCAGAATTTCCTAAAGATTTACAAAATATACTCTACACACCGCAGTTGTACTTTTGTAAAATCTCTCTAGATTTCTTCTTTCACAATAATCTTTGTACTTTGTAACCGCATAATTTATAAATTCAAAAGTGCAATTTCTCTGATCGAAAATACCGCAGTTGACAAGACAACTCGTACCAAAACTTTTCAACCAAGATAGATAAAAGATTCAGTCTTCGATAGTTTATTATTCGTAGTTGTTAGTTTTGATGTGTTTGCAACGGATAGGATAGGAACGGAAACGAGTTGAATTTGCAACTGTTGATATTATAATGTCGCAACTCATATTTATTTTAATTTTTATAAATTATTACAAAATTAATATAAAGTCTGTAGAAAAAATAGTATATGAATGTACTTTTATATCCATCTATTAGTATCGAACATTTCTTGTTGAACCTGAGTAATAGTCATGATTTTAATTACCGATTAATGTTCACTTTTAGGTTGTATTCGAACTATAAAGGTCTATGTGGAAAATAAGTGTTAAACAAACGCAATAAAAGACTGTTTTAAAACAAAAACTTAAACTTTCGTGATTTTTATAAATTTATAACTTTTCAAATGATGAATTTGTAAGGAAAGGGAGTTTTTTTTCTAAACAATAAGTTTTCTGTTTTCATCAACATTTAGTTTCTACGTTTAGGCGACATAAAGTTTAACACGAAGCTATTTCGCTTGTGGGAAGTCGTTAATGATCCGAAGAATCGTTTTTATGATATTTGCTTTGATCAGAAAACAGCATCAAACGTCGTTTATGGCCCCATAATGTCAAATTCTATAACAAATAGGATATACCATACGTACATTTTGAAATATAAACTAGAAAAATTACCTACAGAGCCAAATAAGTTTATTGGCCAATAAATAAGAAATGTTTAAAGAAAATACTAAAAGTAATCGTGAAGACAATAATATTATGTCTGTCTCTTAATTTCTTTGTTATGATTTTACACATTTGTTGTTGATCGCGGTTATATTATCAAAGTTATAGGAACAACGTTAGCTTACGTTATAAATAAGTAATTTGTTAAGGTCCAAGCTTAATCTGCATATAATAATGGTCCATTTCTGATATTATTATGCCTTGAAGCTTTTACGTACAAAAAAGGTTAAATTAGATATTGTGGAGTAACAATAAACTAGCGTCACTAAATAATATATACGTAATGATATATAATGTATAATATGTACCTGTGGTCGAAAACATTTAATTAAATATTAAATTAAATTAATATAAACAAATTATTAAATTTAGGATAATGATAAAAGTTGTACGACATAATAATCTTTGCCCAAATTGTTGGTGACAGTTGCCTTGTCATTTTGACAATTGCTATAAATTATAGGTTATGTTTTTTGTATTTTGTTGTGATCGTGTTAATTCTCACTGAAAACGTGATTATGTTAAATTATATAATTTAACACCATAGGATTGCTGACTTAAAACCTTAATGGATCCGACAGATACGAGACCGCAGTTTGGAAATAGATTTCTAGAAAATGTGGACGAGGTCTTCAAGCATAATGCTTGGTACTGTTTTTCATTTGACAAAAAGATTTTGTAAGAGTTTAAAAAGCTGTGATGTACGAATGCTAGAGAATACAAGATATCGCAAAAAACCTCCAAGGGGATCTAGATATTTAAACGATAAACAATACCTCTATAAATTTAATGCTTGGTACTACACTTTTACAGCTATGTGCGTATTTGTTATTAAGTTTAATTAATACAGCGTGATATAAAATTTTAGGGACAACGTACAATGGGACGAAGAACAAGAAAAGGCTGCTCAAGAAAAGGTTGAAAAAAACTCTATAGTCACATTTACTGAGGACAGGTTAAGAGATTTAGAAGAAAATGCAGACAAACATTGGGACGCATTTTATGATATACATCAAAATAGGTAAATAGTTAAAACAGTTCAATTACTCAAATTATTGTTACATAAAGAAAATTGTGTTAGTTACAATATTTACAACTTCTGGCCTGATCAAAAAATCTGTTTTAATTAAAAAAATCTGTCTAACAAACTTATTTGTTTATATTTCAGATTTTTTAAAGATAGACATTGGCTATTCACTGAATTCCCGGAACTAGCACCTGACAATCAATCAGCCCCTGAAAGAGTATACCCAGATAACAACATGAGTATTGTAAAATCAGACATGTCCAATGAAAGCAAGCGTTATATTTTTGAAATTGGATGTGGCGTTGGTAATACGATCTTTCCTATCCTACAATACAGCCAAGACCCTAATTTATTTGTTTACGGATGTGATTTCTCATCAAAAGCAATTGAAATTATGCAACAAAATGAACTTTACGATACAAAAAGATGCAAAGTGTTTGTATTGGATGCAACTATTGTGGACTGGGAGGTGCCATTTGAGGAAAATTCTATAGATATAATAGTCTTAATATTTGTATTATCTGCAATTGATCCTGCAAAGTGAGTACTACATAGTTTTTTAATTATATTGGCCATAATTTCTACAACAATCTAATATTGACCATGTTTTTATTATGTAGTTTGGAAAACTATGAAAAAAATATATAATCAGCCTCTTTGCCTTGTACCCTATTCTCACATATTGTCCATTGACACAATAGTGTTTTTTTTCTAAATTGGTGATTAATAAAAAAAACTTTTATACAAAACATAAGTGATATAAAAATTCATTTAATGAATATTACAAATGAAGTAGTTTCATTCATGGCAAAACATTTATATCTTGATAAAAACTTTGTAAAGCATTGATTTTAATAATTTAAGCTGTAATAGAAATAATTATTTTTCAGAATGCCGGGACTGATTACAAATATATACAAATATTTAAAACCTGGTGGTTTAGTTGTGTTCCGGGACTATGGAAAATATGACTTAGCACAACTTAGATTTAAAAAGGGACGTTGTATATCTGATAATTTCTATGCTCGAGGAGATAATACGAAAGTTTACTTTTTTACTCAAGAAGAAATAAGAAAGTTATTCACATCTGTCAGTTTTATAGAAGAGCAAAATTTAATTGATAGAAGACTACAAGTTAACAGAGGTAAAATGCTTACGATGTATAGGGTTTGGATACAAGGAAAATACAGGAAACCCTTGTAAAGAATTTTATATAAAAAAATGTACATTTAATATGAATAACATAGTTTACGTAAGTGTACAATTTTTAGAAAATATATTTTTTATTAATTAAAAAAATTAAATGCGTTCAAATTTGAAAAAATACGGTTTTTGTAGTTGATTCATAACTTTTAATACAATTTTCATCGGTGGCCCATTCCAGCTCACTCGTACATCTTGTAATAATCTTCTAATGAATGTTTCAATTTCCATTTCTGCAATTCTTCTACCAATGCAACTTCTAACTCCGAAACCGAACGGTTGAGTTATCATTGGATGAGCATTACCATAGTATAATGGATCTAATTTATCCACTAACCATCTCTCTGGTATAAACTCCATCGGTCTTGGATAATATTTTTCCATTTTAGATAAATATTCATTCGGTGCTATTACATCTACCTGTAATTTAGTTAAAAAAAACTAATAGGAAGGGTAAACACATACATGCCAAAATTAGACCTTTGGTCAATTTATTATATAGACAGATTTGTAGATAGATTTACAAATATAATAGTACCCGATTCTCAGAGCTACTGATTATGCATTTAAAATTTCATAAAAATCGGTGAAGCTGCTTCGGAGGAGTATGGTAACTAAAATTGTGACAAGAATTTTATATATATCCTTATATAATCTTTTATAGCCCCAAATTTTATTCTTTACTGAATTAAATTTAAACCAACTTACCCCTTTTGGAATGATATATCCATGAACTAAATGTTCTTTAGTAGTTCTTCTTAAATTTGCAGGTAATATGGGATATAATCTCATTGATTCTTTAATGCACGCTCTCAGGTACTGATTTGGTTTATCAGAATGCATTTTTATACGTAATTTTTCTTGCTTTTCTGGATTTGTCGCCAAATTGTAAAGTAGAGCAACAGTCGTAAAACTAACCTAAAACATAGAAAAAGAAAAAAATTCAAAATACCTACATACGGTTTAAAAAGGCTTCATCAGTTGTATATATTTATGTTTCTTTTTATGAATTTTACGATTCTTTTGTCAATTACATTAGATTAAACATTTAACCTTACATTGTAAAACAAACAAGGATATTCTTCAAGTACCCACCGTATCTATTCCCGCTAAGAGCATTTCATTCGCCATCAATATGGCTACTTTCTCGTCAATCGCCAACAGCTTTTCTATGATGCTCTTGTCTTCATCTGGTATATCGTAACCACGTTCTTCAATTTTTTGCTTTGCCTCCTTTATGTAACTTGCGCTAGTTCTTTAAAAAATGACACATTAATTAAGGATCTGAAATCTTTAAATAAAAAATTAATAAAATTGTAGTGCCTGTATGTAATATCGCAAAATATTTTTCATTACTTTAAACGCACTGACCTCTATACATGGACAAGCTATAAACCGTGATATTTTGTGCCTATACTTGATTTTCGGTATTTTGGAGATACGAATTCGAACTAATAACTGATTAACTGTCAGGAACTTCCACAGGTGTGTTTAAGTCGGAACAAAGCAGAAGCTATAATTTCCAAGTATTGGCCTATCCATTTATAGAGATAGATGTATCGGCGTTAACAAACAATTTTTAAAATGTCCGTCCGCCAATCCGAATTTTTTTCGGGTAATCTCAGAATTATACTTATTTTTGACACTTACTCCCATTGCAAATCCAATGTTTTTATCATTTTCTTCAAAGCTGGTGTTTCGAAATATCGCCAAACACTCGGAGAAAATTCCAATTTATATGCAAGATCCATTATGTCTCTGGCACATTTTATTAATACATCAGCTTTTTGATTGTCAACGTCGTCACGAAGACATCCTAGTTTCTTTCCTAAACCGATGAATGCAACTGATTCTAACGACCATTTCGTTACTTCTTTATCGAAATTCCACTGTAAATACTCTTCTTCATCTTTTAATTTCATTAACCTGTAAGAAATATGACGGTATAAATGCAAAAAGAAAGCAAAAAGTCGTTATTTTAAAAATGTCTTTGACTACCTTACCTTTCAATCATTTCCCTAGAAATTTCGTCTAAAGCGGGTGCATACAGTTTTACTAATTTAGGTTTCAAAAAAACTGGGTTTACTTTTGTACGAAAATCTCTCCATTTTTCACCTTGTCTGGAAACAAAACAATTGAAAATTTTATAGAAATACCTCAGTAACTAGCCACTTTTAAGCCGCGTACTTACGCAGCCGTCAATCCGAAAATTCCATTGTATACGTCTTTTCGTAACTCTTCTTGATAGTATGTTATAGTATCAAAACTTGGTCGTAAAGGAGTCGTTTCTTCAGCTTTATAAACCTAATTAAGAAGCAAATTGATTCTTGTTATAATATTGTATTCATATGTTATTGTAAATATATTGATTTTGTTACCTGATCGAAGTCTTCTGGTTTAAATAAGAGTACCATATTCGCTCTGGCAAATATGCCATCCAGTTTTACTACATTTCCATAATGTTTATGTAAATGTCCAGCTAAATCTACAAAATTTGCTTTCGGGCCAATGGAACCTAAAGTAAGGTAAGTAAAATTGTATATTTATGTTATGACTAAACGGAGATCGCCTTTTTAGGATAAATCTTATGTTAAAGCATCTGGATGTTGATTTCTCATAATATTTCAAATTTAATTCGAGATTTTTTGTTGTAGGTGTCGCTCATCGTTATCAGCCTTTGTCAATCTACTACTACTACTGGACAAAAGTCTTTTCAGCATATGATGCTGAATTTTCCGTGTCCACCAACTTTCTGTCCTCGTCCTCAACCATGATATTAATATCAAGAAATTAAGTAACGATAACTCATCACAATATACATACTTTTAATTTAGAGAAAATGATTTGGTTAAAGGTGCAGCAAGTTTTTATTTGGTTGATTGTTTAATCGTTGGTTTCAGAAACACGCTTTATTAGAGATAATAAAAGGGATGACGATATATTTCCTAAAAGGATTGTAGTCTCAGAAACCAACGATAAGTAGTATAAACTACCCACCTATAATTGGCAAGAAATGATGTATTGGTCCCAAAAACGGTAATGATGACAACCCAGGTATAGCTTCGAACGGCTTTGGTCCGTTGGATGTGCTAAGATACTTTGTCCTCTGGAAATAATTTGAATATCTGGAATATAATTTAGGGTAACACAAGGTGCATAAATAAAATATAATTACAACTTAAAATATGAAACTATAAATAAAAATATACCTAAAACGGCAATTCTTAGTTGCAGGAGAAAACGAATGCAAGTGATATCTATTTATCATTTTGATTTTTTAAAATGTTTGTTACAATGTTAAACAATCATAACAATTTATTAGACAAAATACGAGCGTGCACTACGCGCGTTATGATCACAAATAGAATAATTAATATGACCTTCATCTTGGAATTCTATCTATACCCAATTTATCTTTAGGGTTATGATAATGATAAAAAAACACTAATAAGAATCGAAGAGTGCAAACTGAAATACTTTAAAATCACTAAATCATTGTTCACTAATTCTAAATGTAAGCAGACGAAACAAAAGTTTACTCTTTTTAACAAAGATTTACTCCAGGAAATAAATATATTGAAACAAAAAATAAGTTACATCTGTATTTTTTATTACTTTTTTCTATAAAATGCTTGGAACACATGTCCTAAATGGCTTGTATCTACGACTAAAAAGTTTGCTTCTTAATTTTATTGTGTCACTTCGCTTTTGACAGTTGACGTTATGTTTTGTATGGTTAATGGTTGACATAAAAATAGTTTAGATAAATATTTGGAAACAAAACCTTCCAAAAATAGAATAACTAAAAATGAAACATTAGTATCGTGGTACTTAGTAGGCTGAGAGTTAGATTCGCTAGTTATTATGTCTTAAAATTGGGGTTAATTTAATAACAGTCGATACTTCTTTGTCATGAGCATAGTTTCCTATAATATCGATCGATTACGAAAGAGAATTTGCCTCAAATTTTAATATTGAATTGGCTTCGGAATTACATACTACATTGAAGTGAACCATATCAAGAAGTACCTTACCTTGCGTATACATTTGTTTTATATTAGTAGAAGGGCAGGCGTGAGTTGTACAAAGATGTGTTTGATCTTACGATTCTGCTCAAGTCTGCAATAATATTTACTGCTTAGAATAAAGCTTTAATTCGGTCATAGCCTAATCTTAGAAAATGAAATAAATTATATGTGTGTAGCAGCAGTCAGTATCGGAATTCACGTCCATGTATTGTTGCTCGTTTCTGTGAGTATTATAAATATTCAAATACTTATTTACTAATCACTATTATATTAATTTTATTTAAATATTGTTTATTTGCTATTTATAGCATTTAAGAGTACTCAAAACTACAACAGCTACTTGGCACATAAATAACAAAAACGTAACTTTATTTACGTAAAATAAATAACACTAGTTTAATTTTTAGTTGCGTAAAATCATATTAATTTTTACCATACAAGTAGATAATTACACCTGTTAAATGCATGCCATGTTTGAGAATACAAATAGACAAGATAACTGTCCAGGTCAATGAACTTTGTCTTGGTTGTTTGTTTGACAAAGTTTTGAGGATCACCTGTAACATGAGATAGCTGATGTTTGTACACACATGTGCTTTACTTATCTTAGTGTGCTTCTAATAGTAGTGGCAAAGATAACCTAATTTAAGAAAAAAATATTAGTGTACCCTCATTGAAAAAAAAATATAATTAGTAAGAAAATGTTCTTAAAATAATTTGATGATTTAATATTCTTAATAATTACATTTTTTGGATTACAAAATTTTCAAATGATTAATTGAGGTAAAAATATTTTCATCTAAATGCAAGGCAAAATGTCTGTGCAATTAAATTGTTATTTAAAAAAATGTGAGTATTGTATGACAAGCACATTTTAAACTTCATTCAATTGAAGTCAATAAAATAAATGAACAATCTGCACCGATTGGTGATTCACAATTCACAGTGCTCCGTACAAATTATCTCTTATTAGCGGACTGTAAACAGGTTAGAGTAATTTATTATGATTTATGCAACAACTTAATTAGATATGACAATGTTTTAACAGATTGCAATGTTTTGGTAGTATTATATTACTTATTTACTTTAGGGCTAAAACGAAATTATACAAAATTCTTATATAACTGTTGTTTTCCACTCCTTAATGACTTCTACCCTAGTGCAATTTCCTTCTTTTACACAACCCATATACGCATGTATTAGCAGTGGAAACTCGGACAAATTTCTACAATTATAAACAATTATTTATCCACATGTTAATATAATTTACATGTATATGTTAATCAATTAATGGTTTCCTTTTTCCAGTTAATTATAGGAATATGATAATTGAATAACGCCCACAGTATTGCAAAGCTTTCAAACCTATCTTTGTTAGGTACTGTCAAAACATTTGCAAAACATATTAAGTCTTTTGTTGCTGTTAAAATGGTTAAAAATAAAATACATATTAGTTTCTTTAAAAGTGAATTTTATTCTTCTTAGTGTATTCAGGGAAGTTGGTGTCATTTAAAGTGTTAATGTTTTAACAGAATGCATTACATAAACATGTATTAAAATTAAATTATTCAATCTTTCGTGAGACATTATAATAAACTTATATAAAAACTGCTAAAACACTTATGTATGCTTGTCCCGTGGCCGTACCAACAGACAAACATATGTGTGTGTTTTAGCTGTTTTTATTTAAGTATATGTGTTAAAATATTCACTAGCTCACGACTGGGCGTCGGGATGGCGAGCATGAGTTCGACGCTCGTCGAGACCGTCTCCATCAACTATGAAGACTTTAACGAGAGCTTCCTCACTTGCGGCACATGTCTATGTTAGTACACATCTCATTTTACTTTTAATTTTATCTACACAATGATTGTTGCACATTTGACCAGCACTCAAGCATAATAAGTAAATATGAGGTGCCAAATTCATGTTACATGTCATGACAATAGTAACAGACATCATCCTGATGTTTTCTGACTCAATATTCTCATTGTAAAACACTGAACTATTGGACAACTTTCTATGTTACTATATTTATCTATATTTCTTTGAATTGATTTTGTTAAGATATTATCTGTTGTGGTATGGTAATGTAATTTTTGATATCTTTTTTCTTTTCAGGCACTTATGATGGAGGCGAGCATACTCCAAAGCTTTTGCCATGTTCACACACAGTCTGCCTGCATTGCCTTACTCGAATAGCAGCATCGCAAACCAGAGACGCCGGTAGTTTCCGATGTCCTATATGCCGCGAGTTGATAACAATACCGCGCGGAGGTGTCCCGGCATTACCGCCTTCGTTCCTCGTCAACCAATTGTTAGATTTGATGGCGAGACAAAGAAGGGAAGTGATACCCCAGTGTAGTTCTCATCCGGGAAGAGAGTTGTTGTTTTGTGAGACCTGCGACTGCGTGTTCTGTCGGCACTGCGCCGACGGACCTCACAGTGACACACCCTGTGATCATACCGTAGTGCCATTTTCGATTGCCTTAAAGAGAATGTCTGAGATATTGTTGTATAGAGCCAATGAGTGTCTTAGTAAACTGGGCTCCGCTAGGGATGCGGTGGCCAGTGAGTTGAGAAGACTAGAAGCAGCGGCCACAGCTGCTGAGGAAGCCATTGATAGGCACTTCACAGAGCTCAAGGCTGCTTTAGACAAGCGGCACAGTGAGCTAAAGTCTGCTGCAGCCGCAGCAGCAACGCATAAAAGAAAGCTGCTCGAAGAACAACTGAAGTTGATTGATGCTGAGAAAACTAAAGTAAGTCTGACTTGTGTCCTTTTTTTGTCTTAATTAAGTAAAATATTGTCAATTTAATGAAGGTTTCTGATCAGTGGTTTCATTCATACAACAAAGTAACAAGTATTAGCAATGTTGCACTCAGTTGTTACCTTGCATATTACTAGCTTAGACTAATATGATAGAATGCGTGTACATATATCTGATGGAGCAAGGTTGGATTATGTGTAGTTCATAATAGTAGAAGGTAAATAGTAATATGATATTTATGGCTTCATCAGCCTCACCAATCCTAAGAAGGTAACTAAGAATTCTTGTGTTATATGTATAAAAAATTTTTAGAAGAAAAATGATACAAGTATTGTGTTAAAATTCTAAAACTAAGTTTATTAATTGAAATAAAACCTAACATAAGAATAAATTGTACTTTGTCATGTAACTTAAAGTTAAATAAGTTATCTTATTCTAAAGCTACTTAGCTTTTATTAACAGTTACTTATGAAGGTGTTTTAAGCCTTTCGATCAGACTACCGTCTATACTGTTAAGTTATGTGGCTTCTGTGAAAGAATAATACCTTACTTATTGTTTTAAAAAGTATTTTACATTAATACATACAACCTCATTCGACATTTTTCACATATCTTGACACCATTCATTTAATATTCACACAGATATTTTAAATATAGTTTATAACTATTTATATAAATTATTTTTACATTACCACCTTGCGAAATAGGTGCTATTCCCAAAACACTAGTATAGATAATAAAACCGGTTCAATAAACTTCTGATTTTTAAATTATAATGTACTTATTGTAGTTGGTAGCATTGAATGTGTTATATGTTTAATATGTTGGTACTTGTTGTAGGTGGAAGCAGAATGTTCAGGTCTACAGCAGCAGGTGGAAGTGCGCGAGGTGAGCAGTCGCGCGGCGGCGCTGGGCGCGCGGCTAGGCGACGCGGCCGCGCTAGCCGAACCCAGAGAGAACGCATTCCTAGCGGTTGACTTCGCGCACAATGACGCCCAGCAACGGTTCCTCGAAGCCCTAGCCGAATTGGGCCGGGTGCGGACCAGTACCACCTTCCCTGGCTTGTGTACATTGCAATTAGGTCAGTTGTATAATACTACTCACAGGTGACGACAGAAAGGGCAATGGGGCAGCTGACCTGAAATCAAACTACTCCTAGATCTAGAGTAGATTATCGGCTAGCGACATCCTTCCTACTACTTTTGCATTTTGCATTTAGTCGTTAAATTGTTAATACATTCTTTTATTTAGTGTACCGTTGACTCATCAACAACAACTTAGGGTTTCTTAATCAGTACTATTTGCTATGTGCATTGTAAGGAGATATTTTGCAGTTGTTTTAACGTTTGCAATGTTATGTAGAGTCTGGGTGTGTGTGCGGTCTGGAAGTGGCGGTGGTGCTGCGCACGGTGGACTACCACGGCGAGCCGCGCAGCACAGGCGGGGACCCCGTCAGCGCAGCCGCCACACTTGACGACGCGCCTCTACCTTGCGCCGTCACAGACCTCGACACCGGATTATATAGGTAATTAAAGTATGAAATGTTGACCTTGATAAACTCAAAAACTATTTAACTAATTTCTATTATTCTTTCCCTAATAACAACTCTAAAGAGCAGTCTTCGCTATAATTTTCTTATGTTTAAGTAGTTAGCCAAATCAACTTTGTCCTAGTGAATGTATACAAAACTTGACACTAATTTGCGCTCGCAAAAGTGAGATAGAGACATAACCTCTGTGTAAGCTGGTAACATCCTTCATGTATTGTTTGCAGGATCACGATGCGTCCGTGGAGCGCGGGCGCGATCAGCGTGCGCGTGCTGGTGTTCTCGCGTGCAGTGCGCGACTCTCCGCTGCGCGCGTGCGTGCTGCCCGCCGCCGCGCCGCTGCTGGTGTGGGGCGCGCGCGGCACCGGCAAGGACCAGCTCAACCAGCCCGTCGCCGTCGCCAGGTACCTACACTCATGCACACATACATGTACGTGCTCCTATTGGTACAAATGGTGACTGTTGTGGAAGTCGGAAAATAGGTGAATAATGTTATTTTAGCAGCGTCGTATGATGACCAACAAGAGACAGCTGCAAAATGTTGCCATTTTCGTAATTTTGTATTACCATAAAAATATCAGGTATGACGTTAAGACATGAAGGTTAATTTGCTAATATGTTTGAATTAACAATTAAAACAGTAAAAATACTAAGAGAACTCAGACTATAAGTTGCAAATCAATTACTTGGAGTTGCAACATAGATGGCTTTCAGAAGTTACGAAATTTTAACTCAGTGGATCACCACACCGACAGTTGACGACACGACAGACTGATTTTACGACAATTTTTTGACAGTGTCAGTGTCAAAAAACTGACGGAAAATCCATGTAGGACTATATGTCTAATTATACAGATTGTATCACATTTATTTTATAATTCTTATATCTGAAGTTGTACAAATGCATATTCCAGGTGTCCGAAACGTCGTGAAATATATGTGCTAGACGCGGGCAACTCCAGAGTGAAGGTGTTGGATGATGAAACGTTTGCCTTCAAAACTCACATCGTTAATGAAGGTGATTTGAACATGTCTACAATTTTATAAATTACTAGCTGTCGCACGCGACTCAATTCGCACGGATTAAAAAAAACTTGAGTAGTTGTCTATGTGTTCTTTTAGACTATATTACACATCTATGCTAAATCTCATCGAGATGTATGTAGCCATTCTGGATAAATCTTCTAACAAACATCTATCCATCCATCCATACATTCGCATTTATAATATTAGTAAGGTGGAGAAATTTGCGGGCAATATTACTAATTGTGTTTTCTACTGTGTCGAGGTCTGTCGGGGCGCAGCTGCACGGGTATCGCGGTGACGGCGGAGGGCGTGGTGGCCGTCAACTGGAGGACCAGGACACTCACTGAGGTTCACTCACAATATACATTTATTTTACTTTTATAAGCATTAAATGGCGACAATCTCATACGTGTACCTACTGCCTACCTACCGGGAATAGGTAAAGGTCAAATAATTTAAAATAACAAGAGTCAGAGTGGAAAAACCCTTTTTTATTCTGATTTTGTTGTTTTTTATTTTAGTGAAGTACTTGTGTCTTTTGTTATCTAACGTGGTCAGTATGCGGTGTGTGATGTAGTGTGATGTAGTGTGACGGTGTGTGATGTATCAGGTGAGCGTGGACGGGTCGACGGTGCGCACGGTGAGGTCGGAGCGGCTGGTGGAGCCGGTGGCGGTGGCGGCGGACGTGTGCTCGCGCCGGCTCGCTGTCGCGGACAACGGAGCGCGCGCTGTCTTCATATTCGACGCGCACGGCAACATCGAAACTGAGGTATTGTACACGATCATATCTGACTGACATCTCATTAACGCCCTGTCAACGTCAAGTAATGTCATGTTATTTTTTATGTTATCTATTTTTAAGTAGGTTTTAAATTTTCTGATAGAACCAATTTTGATAGTAGCATCTCTCATTTGTTCAGATGTCCTTATTTGACTATAACTGTTCCCTTGTCTACTAATTAATCATTAGCTGTGAAAATAAATTATAGAAGGTAGCAACGCCATCTATCGACACTTCTGGGTTCTTTTTTTTAAATTATAATTTTCAGTTTATTTGAAAAAAAATATGTTATACTTTTCACATATGTTATAGTGCTTCAACATTTAACGTTTAATAGATAAATTATTGTTTATAGTAAATATAGCATCTGTCTATATATATCGATCTATAATTTTAATTTATTTAATTGTTTTGTAAACATTTACTGTGATACTTTGCAGATCGGCAGCGGAGAGCTGGGTCTGGTGGGCGGGCTGGCGCTGTCGGGTGACATGGTCATCATAGCAGACGTTGCCGTACGCATATACGACCTGCAGGGCAATCTGCGCAACACCATCGCTCCTGTACCCAAAGGTACAGTCAGCTGCATAAATATGTAAATTTACAATACCTTAAAAACCTGTATAGGTCTACGGTTTCAAAATACGTATTAATTAGTAACATGTATGGAAACCGAAGGTGTACAAAAGGTTTTGAAGGTTTCTAAATGTATAGATATTTATGCAGCCGACTGTGCACAGCCTTTTTAAATACGCAATGTAAGATATCACGTAAAGAGTCATTGAAAGCACCATTGGCCTTAATGGTTGCAGGATTCCGATCTCTCGACAGTTCGAGTACCGTCATTTGACTATTATCGTAAATTATAACGACTGGAGCTTAGTTGGAATGGTACAAGAAATAACTACTGACATTTTGTGTTGCAGGTAGAGGCGGGTACGGGGGCGTGGCGCTGGAGCGGAGCGAGGGCGGGGAGGGTGGCGAGGGTGAGGGCGAGTGTGTGATAGTGTGCACCAGGGCGGTGCGGGGGCGGCCTGCGCTGGTGGCGCTGGAGGCGGGCGGGCGCGTGCTGGCCGCCTGCGAGCTGGCGGAGCGGCGGCCGCGCCGTGTGGCGGGCCTGGCGCTGCTGCCGCGCCGCCGCGCCCTGCTCGCTGACCTCGCCGGAGACTGTCTGCGTCTGCACTCGTACTGGTGAGGTATGTCACCACCTCTACACCATTTCTCTAATACTTACAAAGAGTCTTCGAAAGTTTTTCCACTAAAATCTTAAGACATTCCAGAATAGTAGAGCGAGACAGAGGACCAGATCTTGAGTGATAAAACATAAATTATAAAACTATTTATAAAATTCGCATGTGAAGATTATTTTGCTCTTGCTTGCTTAATAAGACTTTTATGTATTGAAAGTTAATAACGACACTGAAGTAGACTGAAAAAAATTTTCTTTTTGTTTTTCAGGTGATCAAATAGAACGATTGGAGGAGAAAAGAATGTGCAGGGCGAAGGTGAATTGTAAACGAATTTCATGCTAGTCCTATATTGTAACTGGGAATCGAAGTTAGCCATACGCGCGCCCGCAGCGACCGCAGCGCCCGCAGCGGACATTACCAAAGCACCGGCCACGCCGGCAGTATTTCTTTTACGATATTTGTAGTACTTACAGTATTTATTTACTTTTAATTTGCTTAATATTACTTTAATTTTTATTTTTAAGTCATCTAAAGTAAAAGAGCGCTTGGAATTAAAACAATATTCTCTCTGCTGATAATTAAACACAACTTTGTTTCTGACGACTCCCTCTCCGATAGTCATGAGGATTTAAAATATTTTAAATAGAGTTTACTTGGTTACTTTTTGACAATATTCGCGACTGATTTTTTTTTGGATATTTTGTTTGCATTATTTTGACAATTTTTTTTACAACGAAATTTATTTTTATCGATGTTAGTGTATTTTTTTGACACTTGAGATTTTATGTAGGAATATTGTTTTACTAACCACGTAGTAACAACTACTAGTCAAATATATCTACATAAAGGTCAGGTTGAATAAAAAAACTATTTTTTTTTATTTAGCTAGTCTATGGTAATTGCATTTATATATTATTTTTTTATTACGTAAAGTGGAAGTTAAACTACGTAGTTTTTTGTGTGAAAATGAAAAACGATTTTCCGAAATAGTTTTTCTTTTAAATAAATAAACTATCAATTTTAGTTTAGAATCACTTTAGTTTTTAAACCACAGGGTATATTATCCGGCAAATATTATTTTTATTTGGTATGATTAAAAAAAATATGAAGACCACATAAATACGAAAAACACTGGACAATATTTAAATATTTACATTAAAAAGTAGAATTTTCTTCTAGAAAACATGTAGAAATCACCAACAATCAATTAAGCTGTTACTACTTTTATTCCCTTAGTAAAATTTATAACCTAAAAAATAAAAAAAATCTTTGATGGCCATAAAATGCACAATTGCACTTGTTTTTCAATAACTCCTTTTATCAGGTTACGATAAATAAGTTAAAATCAGTTTTTTTTACCAGTAATTTAAATTAATTCGCCTGTCACATTAATTCCCTTTTCTCTAATGAAGTTATATGACAAAAAAAATCCGATTGTTTTTCCTTAAAATAAATAGCGCTTGCATTCTGAAAAATCCTACACAATAAAGCAAATCAATTTAAAAAACAAAATTAAAAGAAAAGAAATTCCTTCTAATTACAAAATACTATAAAATTTCATAACTTTTTTCATAGAAGTAAAATATTTTCTTGATTGATTTCATCGTTTTTCCTTATTAATATCTCTTGCGCCAAAATGATGTACGTCATTTGCTCAATATTCAAACATCATATCAAAATATTGAAGCTTCCATTTTGCTAGAAATTAGACTTTAGCTAAAGCAATCGAATTTCCAGTATTGAAGCAATTTGGCACATAGATAGTTTCTCAATCCTATACATTAAGTGTTGCCGTTTGTTGTAAAATTTTGAAACACGTAGCATAGAAATTAGTGAAGCGAATTTCGCTTTCAAAGAATTTCAAATAGTTGCATTTAGAATCAATAGAATACAAATAATTTGACAATACACCGGAATGATTGAGATGGTATTGTTTATGGATAGAGATATGTCAAATAAAACTCCGTTTCCACTGAGCGATTAGCCGCGATGTCATTTTGATTAGCAATTGCGACCTCTAGTGAAAATAGGCTACACTTCATACAAAAAGCGTACTGTAGGCGACAATTGCGCTAGCCACAAAGTGTGAATTATCTATGTTATGAGTATTTTATTACTTTTTAAATTTTCGTTTTTTTAACCTCGCAGTAAAGCTCAAATGTTTTGACAAAATTTGATATGGTGCTAAATAAAGTACTGGATGAAAGCCCGGAAATAAAACTGTAGATTACAGTTAAATATTTTAAATTAAAATTCCTTTCTTCTAATTATCCCGCACCTTTTAAAGTCTTAAAATAATTAAAAAAAATCACGTGTGTATTTTGAACAAATCTTTCACGGGTATGTATTTCTCTACAAAATGTATAAATTACTAGACAACGTTTTTTGATTTGCATAATTTTAATAATTTATGCTTCGCATATTATGGAGTAAGACATACATAATTTTTTTTTTAATATTTGAACTTATTGCCACCTTCATATATGTATGTAACGAAATATTTTTTTATGTAATAAGAATAGACAAACGTAAAAATCAATTTGAAACCACTGTTGCTGTTTTATGTGTACATATTTAGTTTTCAATAACTAAGTCGTAAAAAAAAGATTCGTAGTATTGTTTTTTTCAGTTAACTACAATCTTTGTCTCGGTTTACAATTTAGATTGAAAGTGTTGACAGCATCGTACTTGTTATTAGATTTTACTGTTTTGTACTATACAGTCACAATAACGCGAGACTAACCCCGACGAAGCTGTGACGTCATCGCACTCAGGTTTCATGTTATCGTGACCGAATAGTGTTAGTCGTAGTTCATTTTATTCCCTTACCGTGAGTTTCTGAGACCAAAATCTCCGTTTAAACATCGTTATCTCCGTCATTATCTTTAACAAAACAAAGATATGTTTTAAACGGTGATTTTGATGTCAGAAAGTCACGGTTAGAGTTTTATTCCGTAATTTTGACAAGTAATTTGTTATTGTCACAAACTGTTTACCCGCCACTGCCTCTAGTTTAGTGCATTTGTTAATTTTAATGCAAAAATGTAATAATTTAATAGAATATTACAACTGCGGTCGGTACAAAGAAATTATTAGTGCTTAAAACAACTCGAATATAAAATTTAAGATTTCTAGATCTGAACACTAGCGACACCTAGTTCTTCTATTATAAAACTAAATCTATTTTGGCATAAGGAATATTTTTGCACTCTGTATGGAACGGAATTGACTTTGGATTGTTTGTGAGTGTATATGTCATAATAAAGCTAAAATATATTTATCGAAAGCTGTGAAAAATGTACTTAAATTATTGTTAACACAAGAATATCTAAGTGTATTGTCAATAATGTCACTTATGCAAAATACAATAAAGTTTAAAATGAAAAAAAAATGTTTTTATATTCTTTATTTCAAGAATGAATGTCAATGTGTTTTATGTGAGTTTTGCAGTGGAAACGCACGGTTACAATTAAACCTTGGTTTCTCATCAATCAGATTAACAAATGCCTAGTTAAATAGTCATGGAGACGTCGGTCACGAAGTGGTTTGTACTAACGGATGTTAGTTAACGTAATCTATTTTTACTTCTTATAAATCTTTTTTTTTCTCCGGACAATTGTCTTCAGAAATGAAATATCTTATATACTGAATTATATAAACCCTAAAAAATATGAAAATGACACCAAATATGGAATTTGGTGATAATTTAAATTAATTTAGACTTTAAATCGAAAAAAGTATGTAATAATAAGATTGTGGTCGTGGTAAATTCATTGTTAAAAAAATACAAACATCAAAACAGATAAATTTTATTCCTACAAATACATACAAGGACATCGAAATTTAACATTTACTGTCCACAGTCTTACAGAAACGACTTACCATGGGTTTCTAAGACCAAAATCCTCGTTTAAAACGTATTTGCTATCTCTGTTTTGTCCAAAATGAAAGACAGGGATGACGATATATATACAGAGATTTTAGTTTCCAAACAACGACAATAACATCAGTAATGATTATTTAACAAAAAATATTTTTTTCACAATACGAACGGACTGACGTAAGAATCATTAGGAACTGTAATAGAAAGGAATGTTATAAGTTTCAAATAAAAATGTCCACGTGTGACTTGATGTATTAAAAAACAGTCGAAAATTTTCAAAGGTATTTTAAAAAATCTTACGAAAATATTTTATTAAAAAAAAGTATTTATTTACTTAACGTAAGTATTAATTTTGTATTTAAAAGCTATGACGTCACAACAGAGTGTACATTCTTATTTGAAACGCATTGTATTTGTAACACTTTACAAAGTTTCAACTTAATCTAGTTTCGTTATTTCTTAGTGATAAAAAATTCAGACATACATTCTTAAAATGTAATTTAAAACATAGGCCAATATAACTTTAGTGAATATTGTCGATAATTAAATGATATGTTGAAAATAAAAAAAGTGAAAAATTCATAAAATATTCGATTTTCATATTAATTTTTTTTTATTTTTTGCATTGTTTTCAATTTTTTGCATTGAAATCTATACGAACTACAATTAATTTTTGTTACATATATATTGAATTTAAAATTAATGATAACATTGAGCAATCATTTAATTTTAATACCACAAATAACTTAGGTCTTATTTTCATATAGGAAGAATTTAATAAATAATTTCCAAATTTCAATAGATCATACAAAATACAGATTATTTAAATGAGAAACATCAGAAATATAGACATTCAACACTGGTTCATTGGACAATAGTACAACTTAGTTGATATAGATTAAAAATATATACCCTTCTAGGTCAGTGGGGCAAAAAATAAATGCATTTGACATATACTGTTATACAATAATATTCGCCAGTTTATAATCTCTCTAGACAAATTATAAAATGGCACCAAATTGTAAACTGAACGAATTTTAGACAACATTTTGCAGCATTACTTACGAATATGTTTTTTTTTTAATTTAAATGATTTGTTTTAGTGTGTATGGCTAGTGAGATTAAAAACTGTCGATTTTTACAATTCGATAGTAACTTAGGCCTGCTTCCCGAAGCCTGCGAGAATCTCTTTACAAGACTTGATTGTGTCGTTGAGTCTCTCCGTGGTCGCCGAGGTCTGCTTGTGCGAGAGGAGTCGGGTGCAGCTACCTATAGTGGTGAAGTATCCGCACACATTGTGCAGCACTCTCACAACCTTATCTCCACAGACGAATAGATATTTGCCGCTCGCATCAAAGCATATGTAGCTAACAATGCCTGGAACAACCGTAAAGAAATCTTACTAATATTATAAATATGAATGTTTGGATGTATGTTTGTTTCGAGGTATCTCCAGAACGACTGCATAGATTTTTTTTACATCATAAGTTGGCAAACGAGCGAGCGGCCACCTGAAATCGCTAAAATAACGAAATGACCGTTGTCCATAGACATACGCAATTGTATATGCGTTACCTAACTTTAATTAACGGAGACGATGCACAGAGAGAAAATATTTTGCCTTCCCATGCATCCTCTCATCCGGAAAGTCCACTTCCCGTCCTTTCCTTAAAGGAAAAATAGTGGGAAGGGAAAGAGGACTAAATTAGACCTCCGGGACGCACACTCATCAGACTGTACGCGGAATTACTTCCACTTGACGCCTGTCTTCTGTGTGGTCGTGGTATTTCACCGGACGAGCCGGGCCAATTCGTGCGGAGATGTTAAAGCGGGCTCTACCACTTGATGATCTTGCTGAAATTTGACATAGATGTATAACATAGCCTGACAGAACACATATTTAAGTTTTTGTCAATACCGCGGAGTTGCGGACGACAGTTTAAAATAAAAACGATCGATAGTTCCCTTGGACATGCGCGTTCAATTATTCAAAGTAAACTCGCAACTGAACGATCGAACACTGGAATATCTTAGTAGAATATTCGAGGCCATATCGAATATTTAATCAGATGACTGGATCGATGTGTTATTGTTTGTATATGTTTCAATCTCTTCTCTACTTCAACAACGATTTAGTAACTGCTAAGTTTTCTACCTAATAACAAAAAGGTAATGCTTTTGAGAGCTTCGGTGGCTCAGGGTCAAGCACTTGACTTGTAATCTGTAGGTCCTGGGTTCGAATCCCGCCATGTACCGTTCTTACGGTGAAGGAAAACATCGTGATGCAACCTGCACATGTCTGAGAAGAAATTCAAAGATATGTGTGAAGTCAACCAGCCCGTACTTGGCCAGCGTGGTTGACTATAGCCTAGTCACCCTTAACTTAGGGTAGGCTCTGAGCCCCTCGGTGGGGACGTATAGTGAGCTGAGATGATAAATGCTTTTGCTATCCCTACTACCTACAATTGATCTCTAACTATCCCCAACTAGTAACTCTAGTATTTTCAACACACATCTTATAATTTCTTAACTGTCTTATTACTTTTCTAACTGTAATAAAATCGCAGTTGTCTGAATCATTACAGACTTACTAAGCTTAATAAATTTTAATAATAAAGTAATTACCGAACGCGTTAGACGTCTATTATTAAATGTTTTTGCACATCAAATTGCATTGTTTTTCTGTGTCGATAAGCAAAAAACATCTGTACATATCCGCAACGACTCGTTAAACAATAAGCTACGCTTTAACATTGTTATTGCATTATAACTACGCGGGACTTAATTTGTTAAAAAATATAAAACAATATAATTTTATAGTATTGTGCAAATCGTATAATATCATATACTGTGAAACGTAAAGATTTTATAGTACATTCAAACCTATTTTATAAAAGGTTAATTGAATACGTAATTTGTATCGTAACAGGATGCATACAAATCTTGTATTTAGTTATTAACTGTCGCCCGCGACTCCGTCCGCGAGAAAATAAGAAAAAACTTAATTACTAGCCTATTTGTTCTTCCAGATTATGTTCTACAACTATGCCCAATTTAAAAGAGATCCATGCAGCTGTTCTGGGGATACTTACTAATAAATATCTATCCATCCATCTAAACATTCGGTATTTCTAATACTGGTAAGATAAGAAGTAAGAATTACAGCATCAAAAAGATATTTTTTTAATCAACTGACTACCTTTCACCCTATGTATAGGAAGGTTTTTTCTTGAACTGTGTATAATTAAAAATCTAGGATTCATATGCTTCAAAATATGGTCACGTTTCTAAAAAGTATTATGTTAATTTAATTCGGTATTTCATATGCAAAGTAAGGTTCCTAGAAAGCCTTAACTTTGACATAACCACAAAATCCACTATTTACGTAAATACTTAGATACTAATTTTGATCCGAGGAAAATAGTTACATGTCTTAAGAGATGTAACTCTTTTCGTCAGCTTAGTGTATGTGTGTGATATCTCACCTGGGTATAAATTTTCGACTGTATCATACAGTTGTCCTGTATACGTGTCGTAGAACTCGACGGCGCCATCAACCGTCACTGCGAGCACCTCCGCATTGGGCGACAGCGCGATGGTGGGCGAGGCCGCGCACTGCGAGTACGTGCCAGTCTCCAGCACGTGAGGAGATTCACCGCGACTGTACTCAACTGTACAATACATAGCCATTATCAGTTTTCTAACAATTATAGTTTAGAAGTGTACCTGAAAGTACACTTCACAACATGTTTAATGAAAATAGAACTAATTTCTTGGATGAATTAAACTTATCCACCGATGTATTACCTTTTGTTTAAAACCTGTAATATCGAAATATTATGTTTAATTACTTAATAGTGTCCACATAAACCTTGGACTTCAGTCCCACGAGTAGCAAAATGCAATTTAATTGTCATCAACAAACATATATGTGCAGTCTGCTAATAGATCTTACCTATTTACATTTGTACATTGATAGCACTCTGTCTGATATATTTATTATTCTGTAGCATGGAATGTTACGAGGGAATATAAACAATTGCAGTTTATAAATATTGTCGACAAGATATCATATTCGCAATGAGAACCAGATATTTTTTCTCATCATCTATAAAGTATCTCGTGGTAATATATACGAATCTTTTATAATATCGTACTTGAAAAATTGGCTTTAGAACTACACGATCAAGAAGATAGTAACTGTACTGTGTGAAAGAGAGGGCAGGATATTGATGACACTATTATAAATTAATTCTATGAATATTTTTGTAATAATCAACTTTTTTTTTCAACTTAAATTTTCCTTTTCTGCAAATACCTTGACAATGTTAAACCGTATGACAAATAGCGATTTATTTGAAAAACGTATTTCCGCGATTAAAACCATCACCTTACAAGGTGTGGTTGATAAGAGCAAATGTTTTACAACATCTTCAATGCCATACAATATTAGTTCCTAATTATATTACTTATATGAATTATATACAAAAATCAACTGATATGGTGATTCTATTTTTGAAAATAAAACTAGCAGATTAACAATAACGCTAGGTTTAATAACAAAAGTGCATTTTAATTTATAACTTCACAAAAACCTAGGAAGGTATCATTTTTAATTACATTTAAATCCAAAACTGTATAAATTAAGATAAACTATAGAAAAAAGCAAGGTTAAAAATTAACATATTCACGTAAAATAAATACTATTATTTATTCACAATACTTTGTGTCGATGGAGATCCGTAACGTCGCAATAGCGGAAATATTATGTTCATATAGTACAACAAACCCTGACATCGCGGTTTAATTCTATCAGAAAATAAGTAAATCATCCAAACACAGTAATGGACCGACAAGGATATCTGTCGGACAGATGTAAGCATAAGCAACTAAATTATGAAAACTCACTAACCCCCCTCTGTCAATTTCATAAAAGTATCACAAGATGCTTGTCGTACTTCCATAATGTTACATATATTCTGACAGTAACAAACGCTAGAGCAGCGCATCTTTCACCGGCTCAGATATCTTTGTTTGACTATATAATACGACAAGAGTTTTGTAACACTTTTTTGACATTAACACGAGGGTGCTAGTGTTACTTATGCTCACGGGTCAGATAAGTTTGTCGGTCTATATTAAATGATTCACTACTCGAACGTGACAAGCATTAGTCAAATAAACAAACGTAACATTGATACCTTCGTTGACGTAAATATGTTATTTAATTCGAACACAAAGAGATAAACAGGGCAGGTGGTTGCTTATGTAATTATGAATAATATTAAGATAATTTTACTTAGGAAACTGTCTCTTACGTAAACGGGAATGTATAGTTAACCAGATTTTTTTTTATAACTAAATGTGATATAAAAACTTTTCATCCAATATCCTCCTCTGTGAGATTGCATTCATTGGTAAAAATAGTATGAAATTTTATTTAGTAGTTAGTAAGCTGTATTTTTTTATATTGAATAAGCTAGCGCTTGACCGCGATTCCACCTGATGTTAAGTAATGATGTGGTGGTGCGTATAACCACAGATGCCGCAAATTATCTTAATCTTTATGAAGCAACAAATTTATTATAACACCCTTAGAAATATTTAAAATTAATTTTATTGTAATATCAACGACCTAATTAAAATATAATAACACGTAATAAGATATCAGTAGCAGGACTATATTTTGCAACTATAGTAACGAATCATATTGCAAGAAATAAGAGGTTAGCTTGTAACAATTGTCGTCAGGCGTAATTAGATATGCTCTGCCATCACATGACTGCGCGCCTACCATTTTGTAAATTGACGCCTTGTTTCAATAGGTAGACCATTTAAATGCAACTCAGTGTACGTAAGTCAGCAAAAAGAGTTCCGTACACATTTCACATTAACAAAATCGAAAATACAAAACTATCATGTCGTCTAAGTTAAAAATCCAGTTGTCACATTTAGGTTTTTCTTTTTTTTTTACTTTTCAATGCTATACTTACGTCTTTTTTACATACAATTTGGTATTGCAAGAATGTCTGATCTATGTCTATGCTGTCTATCTGTCGCTTACAATGTGATGGTCGTTTACCATAAAAAATAGATGAATAATTGATATTCAAAGCCGGCACTTATTGGCAATGTAAAAAACTGGGTATAGCCATATTAATCGCGAGTAGATGTATTTTGCAAGGATTCGCACGCATCGCAGAACGTCGCGTGATGCAATGCCAGTACATACGACGTCTTACGTCAGTGAGACGTAAAAAGTCGGGACTGACCCCAACGGACTCGGCCCACATTACGTATGTAATATTCAGTGTATCTGCGAGTTTTCCTGCTATATCAAATTAATTCTATAACGTAAGTGTTGTCGGTATTTCCATTATATGCTCGCTTTTAAATTGCAATGGGAAATCAGTAAGCGTATTTGCTATATCTAGTCGTATCTTATATATAAAAATGCATCCTTCTTTTGTTTAATTTATATTAAAGTTAATCGTGTCAAGGATTCAAAATCAATAAAAATATAATTGAGAAGTAAAATATGCATATAGCATTACGTAGTACTTGTAGTACAACGCATTACCGCGTGACGAGTCTGCAAAACCTCAAACAGATACGGCACGTAGCAAGGAGCGTATCATGCAACTATCAGTCTGTAAATGGCGCAGCGTCTGTTCATTGATAACAAAACATGCGCATTAAATATTCCATTCATACTTACTCTTTGTGTGGTAGAGCCTCCACGTGCCGTCCTTAGATATGGTGGCGATGTGGGAAGTGTCAACGTCGAATGCTACATCGTACACCCCGGAGGAATGGCCGGTTAACTCGAAAGCCTTTGTCACTTGTTTAAACTCCCCCGTCTTCGTGAAACAGACCTCCATCACTTTGACATCGGGCGAGAAACCAGTGGCAACTACGAAGCGACCGCACGGCGATATCTTGGCAGAATGTGTACTCATCAAATAAGTGTCGAGACGGTCTAGTTGTTGGCCCTTCAGATCCCAGATCACCATGTCCGTTTTAGTGGAGCACGACATCATGAATTTTCCGTTGCTCGAAATACCAAAGCCGGCAATGATGTCCTCGTGAACCTATAAACGATGAATGCATTTATTAATTGTCATGAATTTTAGAATGATTATTTGAGTCAAAAACAAACGGCATATTGTTCGAAGAATTTGTCATATTATTCTGCAAAATACAATGTAAGCAGTACATTTAAATACAAACATATTTAACCTTAAATAAGTTAACGATAAAAAAAACAATTTTAAAATTAATAACATATTTCAGAATTGAATATGACGTATCTGTCCCAGGAACCGTTAAGGCAGTCCAGACGTCAATAAATCATAGACAAGCTCTAAATTGAGTCGCTTAAATTTGTGTAGCAGTGTGGGGTCACAAAAGTAGGTCAGCGCTCAAACAGGCATCAACTAACTAAATCAATCGAGTCTCTCCCATAGTGACAGATGAAAACAAAACTATTCTTTGTCATGTGATATGCCCAAAAACTCTCTCATTTTCTCTCATGTAAAAAATATAGGATATGTATGACAAGGTCTGCTGGTCCACCAGAATATACCTACAATTCGTTACCTGCTAATTTGCTATGAAATGATACACGCGCCACGCAAGTCTAAAGAAAACATTGATTACTATATTATAATACTATGACAAGTTGTTCTAAAGGAGTAACAGGATTCCAAAACTGGCTGGGCACGAAAGAATGCCAATAAATAATGGCAAATGAATACAAATGTAACGGTACTCTGGATTTAATATTTATAACAGTCTCCTTAGTATCGTCTTAATTCGTGTATAGAAAATAGATGTAAATTAGACAAATTCTGGTAGCATCTCATCTTCAAATAAGCATAACAGAACCATGCTTATCCTTATCCTTTTCCATGGCGATTTAGGGCTTTGTTGACCCTTGGTTATTGATTATTTAGTTAATATTAAAGTACTGGTAGATTATAAAACATAGTACTTCATATGTTAACTTCATCTCAGATATTATTTTTTGATAAAATATTTTTTAAAAGAACAATCGGCAACTGCACTCAAACTGGTTGTAAGATTTTGCTAGTAGCAAAACGGCCATTTGTTAGTACATGTTCGTACCAACGTATGTCAGATATAAAGACTAAAAACCCGTTGATTTGCATAAGTTGTTTACTTTTTTTAAAAGACAAACACATCGAGGTGAAATAACCAACGTCGCCATTAAAATTGTTCGACAAAGATTGAGGAAAACCCTTCGGAAAATTTTACAAGTTAGCATTACAAAGTAATTTATTCTCTCGGTTTTTGTATTTACACTTTATTATGATATTTAATTTAAAGATAAAAATGTTTTCACATTGCTTTCATAGAGTACAGATCCAAATGACAGTTTCTCAATGAATTCAGACGGCAATGATTTTTTTAGGTTATCCATAGTTCAAAAAACCTCTTAACCGTACAGTTATCATGACGCATACAATGTACCTAACTATTAGCATTGTTAAGGCGTTCTACTTTAGTAGTACTAAAACCATATATAGTAGAACCCTGGTAATACGATTCCTCAGGGATGCGCCAAAGACGCGTCTTACGCGGGAAAGCGTATTATGCGGGAATGGGATATAAGACGTACTCTATATTTTTAAATTGCTACATATTTATGTAATCGATTCAAATTTCATATGTAATTGTATATATAGGTTTTGAATGATATATTTATGAACGATACGTACTTTGTGTAATTATTTAAGAAATGTAAGAAAACATGTCTGAAGTTGGAGAGACCTCCGTAAATAAAATGTGATCGTATTAACGGGGTTCTACTGTAGTAATTATTTTATTAAGTTCTGCTAATCCTGACAAACTTTAAATTATACTTTAGTATATCAACGAAGTAACCTGTATGAGTTATTCTTGTTCTATTTTCAATTACCATCAGACAGGTGCTAAATAGAAGTTGTAAATTGCAATAAAGGCTACATTTGCCTCAAGCTACGGGTAATGAACCCGTGGTCGGTGTAGTTAATATTTTTTATTCGTTGCGTGTACTCAAAGTTCTTTTGTGTTCCCACATGTGTGAGGCTAAATATATCCCCTGCGTAGGGGACAGCTTTTGTTGATTGCCGGAAATTGACGTTCAAGATAAAACATACGGCAAGGTAACGAGTTTCTGATGCAACTTAGTTTTAAGTTAATGAAATCCACATTACTTATATGATTCGGAATTTGTAACAGTTTACAGCGGTAATGAATTTTAAAGGTTTGACTCATTGTCCCGGTGTTCTGCTTACGCACAATTATTGTTGTTAGTCATCGCTGTAATGTTTAGAAACAAAGCATTAACTACGTGATTAGATGAAAGGGCTGTTAACTTTTAAATAAATGTACCTAACATGTCCATATATTCATTTGTGTTAATAAAACTGTTAATTAAGTGTTTTACTTATTGCCAACGTATTAGTAAAAGTTGAATATTTGCTAGTAACAAAGAAAGCAAACTTGAAAAAAAAAATAATGGTATTCAGAATATTATTATTAGATCCTGTGAATTGGATGAACCAGATAAATGGTAATTTTAGTATTCTAGATTTATAAACTTAAGCTATATACTACACGATTGACAGTATTATTGTTTATTTATCGTCTCCTTGGGCTTATCCCACTCATTTTCTTGCTTGTCGCCAACCCTATTTGAAAAGAATAGATTAAAATTAAATTTATATTCTAAATAAATGTTAAATTATAAAAATTAATATTGTGTTACATATTTTAAATGTTATGATTACACCAAAAACATTGTTTCTTGCATGTTCCAATCAATGAGGTACACGTCGTATCCCAAATTCAACGTAATAGTTGCGCAACAAATCTTGTGCAATTATTATACATCTCAACATTATGCATAAATAAATATTGTATTAAGCCCTAGAACTTCCATTGTAGCTTTTAGGTCAACAAAGATTGTATTGTTTTTTTTTTATAAAAACATTAGAGAATAGAAAACAAAACATTCTAAATGAAAATAGTCGTAATTTATGTGACGTCAATGGAAACAATACATAATAAAGGAACATATGGTATAAAGGTAGTCATCACTGTAAGCCACGTCGAGGAAATATGATCGTCGAACCTTCCTGCAGCTAAAAATACGATGGAGGTTACACGAGTGGGTGGCTACATAACGCCATTGTTCCTACAGAAGGTCGAGCTCGAGCCACATTGATAACGAACCTCTAAGGCTCACTGGCAATGTACAATGACAATGCACTTTTTACGTTTTGCGACCCGCATTGGTATTTGATGAATATATTGTTTGCGTAAACTTTGTAAATTTTCGTTTGTATCAATAGGTTGAAGGTTAAGGTTAGTTAGCCCGGATCTTTGTCAGAGTCTTAACCATTTTCGTACAAAAAATACGTCACTAGACTAAAATTAGAAATTATAAAAAAGGACTTTCTCGTTAATTGGTCACTATTATAAAAAAGACGCCATAAAATTATTAAGAATAAAAAATATTTTTAATTGAAGATTTAAGATATGGTAACTTTTTTTAACCAACACTCGTTCCTAAAAATGAACATAACGTTTTTAAAATCTTTATTTGTTAATTCTTATTTTTGTATATATTTTATGTCACTATCAAGTAAATAAACAACGAGTAACATTGTAGTAAATGTACCGTACGACAACTGTTAACTGGTACACGATGTACATACAGACGTACGAATGTAAGAAAAGGTGACAGTTAATAAACAGTAAGACTTGAATATACTATTATAAGAGGATTAACTATAATTTATATAAAAGACTTTCAACTTTCTTTCGACAAAGATGTTTTCTCACTTTATTTCTAAGAAAGTAAAGCCTATTTATATCATCCGCACATCCACTGAACAAAAACAAAGACTTTAAAGCAATTGTTTTCGTAATTATAATTTATTCTAGAAAATTCTTTAGAAATTAAAAAAAATGTTTAGTGCCAAGCTGCCTTATGAAAGAGTAACATTTTATTTGAAGTCTATTGAAGTTATTGAAAATGACCTTGGTGTCAACGAAATTATGTCGAAAATATTTCGAAATGTTGCACGATAATAAACTCTTGACACTTCTTTTATCACTTACAAAGGAATCAAATACTGACCGAAAATATTTTTTTAAACATAGTGTATAACAAATATATTTCTTAAAAAAACAACAATTTACTTATACATGATATATGCATCAGATAATGAAATGATTTTTTACTTTTACCAAATGATTTAACTCTATAGATTTTATGTATGGAAAAGAAAATCTATGATAACATTACTTTAAAAAAATGCGTAAGTAAATGAAAATTGTCCGCAAGATATTCGGTGCGACTGACTGATAAAATACCAACTAAAACGCTATCAAAGCGATGGTTTATCAACAGTAATACTTAAGTAAAGTAGGTTGGGTCTATGATCTAGTACTAAGCGGTATCGTCGGCCGATTTCTCCCCACTGATATCGCAACCCGGATGATGCAATCATACATATCAGTTGTTTATAAATCATAGATCAAAGTCATCGAAATCGCAACTATACATGTGAACAAATAGCATTCTGAAGGCCTGGATATTTTTGTTAGTCGTTTCGTGTTACCTACGTGTTGGGTAACTGAGATGTATGTACAATACTCCTTTGTGACCCAGTATAAGCAAAACTACGGTACAATAATGTAATCGCACGAGCGCAAAACGTTAGGTAACGTAACACCCACTTTGCAAGATTTGTATAACAATGAAATTAAAAGGCATTTAGAAATTTTGCCAATAAGAATCTTAGATTTCAAAACACAATAGAAGTACCCCAAGTGCTTTATGCGTTACAAAAATTACGGGATTTGGACAAAATCATTCTTTATGATTATAAATTTTGCTGAATCAATATTTAGGGTGTGTATTAAAATTACCGTATCAAAATTTATCAACAAAATATTTAAAATAATAACTACGTAGAACGTTTTCATAAATGTCAAATATTTTACTTCTTAAGCACGGCAACGTACTAATAAAACTAATAATATTATAGAAGTCGTAAATTTATTACTGATTATAACA